GAGAAAGAGAGAGAGAGACACTCATAGACCAGAAAGAGACAAAGAGACATGTACATGCACACAGACGGAGAGAGAGACAGAGACAAAGATACATACGGACTGAGACAGAAAGATGAAGGCACGCACAGACCCAGTACAGGGAGAAAGAGAGAGAGAGACAGAGATATGCATGGACTGACAGAGAGAAATTGAGACAGAGATATGCAGGCCGAGAAAGATAGAGACACACACACACACACAGACAGAGAGGAAGATACAATCATATGCACAGACCAAGAGAGGGACAATGGTTGACCGTGATAGAAATACAGAACACATATGCAGACTGAGGGACAAAGATAGAGAGACACACACAGATCAAGAGGGAAAGACGAGAGATGCACCGACCAAGAGGGAGAGGCAATGACAAACGTACAGACTCAGGAGGGAGAGGCAGAGATACACACAAACTGAGAGGCGGATGGAGTCACGTGCATCCTGAGTGAGCATGAGACACATGCAGACTGAGAGAGGAAAACCGAAACAGCCAGATTATTCCTCCACTCGCATCCCAACCAGACTTCTTTATCTCGGTCTCCCACACTGTTCCCATGCAGCTGATTGTGAATTTGAGGAACAGCACTTCATCGTTTTGTTTGACACTTTTTAGCCTCTCGATTCAACACTGAGTTCAAATATCACAGATTATAACCATGCCGCCATTTTGTTTAGGAGTATTTTTAGCTTGTGTTTTTTTTTTGGATGACAGCTGATCCTGCTTTCCTGTATTCACTTTCTCTCGGGCATCTTTCATTTCTTTACTTGACCTATTGTTAACCCTTTTGGCTTGCATCTTCAACCTTTTATCATTTAGTGAGTCCCATCATCTACCATGTCACAGGCATTTATTCCATCCTAACCTCTGCCCCGGTCATGAGCCTACAGTCATTTAAAACTTGTAATAGCTGTACCTACTAGTTTTGACAAGAAGCCATTGACCTGAATCATTGACTCTGGGCTGAATTGTACTATATTTTAGCAAAGTCCCATTTTCATCACGTTTCGGGGAGTGTTCCCCTCCATGAGGCCCCATAAGCCTCCACGAGGCCTATGTGAGTTCTCGCGTACTATGGTCCCAAACTTGCCTCATTAACTACTCACCGGGACTGTATGATACTCTTTCTCACCCGATGCTGGCCCAATTCTCCTACAGATAGAAGCCCAGAGGTACTCGCTGTTACCTGGATCCCTGGCACTGTCACCATATTTGAAAGACCATTGTGCACCCAGACAAGTGCTGTCAGTCCAGGGCTGCCTTGCCCGGCTAATGGCACTTGCACCAGACGCGGTAGGTTTGGGGAAATTGGCAATGCACTTTGAGAACCATCTAGATCATGGCAATCCGGTCCAAGGTAGCCATCTTGGACGGTGTGGTCTCAGCCATCGGGAGGAATGCCCAACAGTGTTCAAAGGAGGCCAGTGACCTTTGCTGCTCAGGGTAAGTGCCACCATCTTGTCTCTGCTATCTCACAATCACCCTGTCTCTGTCACCGTACCCACCTCTCACCAAACCTCATGTTCTACCACTCCATTATATGTGGCATCTTTCCTCAATCACCCGCCCCAACTCCCCCACCTATCCTCACCCTACATAGTCTCTGCGTTGCCTTTTCACTCACTCAGGATATCTCACCAGCTTTTCCCCCACCTACACTACCAACTTGGCTGTCCACTTTTTTTTTAACTCACTCAATCCCTCCCTTCCACTGATTTCAGGAGAAAACAACAGGGCACCAAAGTGAGAGTGGCCAACTTTTGGCTGCTCACCCCCTACAAGGAGAAGATCTGGCCCCGATTACCCATTGTTTATTTCTTTATTCTTAAATAGGATCTGGGCATCACTGCCCATTTTTTCTGATGAAGGGTCTAGGCCCGAAACGTCAGCCTCTCTGCTCCTATGATGCTGCTTGGCCTGCTGTGTTCATCCAGCCCTGCACCTTGTTGTCTCGGATTCTCCAGCATCTGCAGTTCCTACTATCCCTAATTGTTCTTGAACTGATTGGCTTTCTGGGCTATTTTGGAGGACAGTTTAGGGTCATACAGCCCGGAAACAGACCCTTCAGTCCAAACAGACCATGCCGAACATAATTCCAAATTAAAATAGTCCCAACTGCCTACTCCTGGCCCATATCCCTCCAAACCTTTCCTGTTCATGCACTTATCTGAATGTCTTCTAAACTTTGTAATTGTACCCACATCCACCACTTCTTCAGGAAGTTCATTCCACACGCGAACCATCCTCTGTGTAAAACATTTCGCCCCTCTTGTCTTTTTTAAATCTCTCTCTCTCTCTCACATTATCTTGGGTCTGAAGTCACGCGTAGGCCAGACCAGCTAAGGACATTAGTGAAGCTGATGGATTTTAACAAAAAATGACATTGGTTTCGTAGTCATCATTACAGCAGCTTTTAGTTTCAGTTTGTTTAATTGAATTCCAACTTCACCATCTGCCATAATGGGATTTGAATCCGTCCATCATTGGAGCAGTAACCCAAAATTCCACTCTAGTCACATGACCACTACACCACTGAGTAACATTGGTCAAGCCACTGGAATTGGGGCAGCATGGTGGCTCAGCGATTAGCTCTGCGGTCTCTCACCGCCAGGGACCCGGATCTGATTCCAGCCTTGGGTGACTGTCTGTGTGGAGTTTGCCTTTTAGAGGGGTGGTGTGGGCTGAATGGCTTGCTTCCACACTGCAGGAATTCTAAGATTCCATGATATCAGAGGCTGCCTTGCCTTACGTTCCAGGACGCCCTGACTAAAAGGCTGACCGATGACTACTCCCCATTGACTTTGAGATGTGAAGCTCGTGCAGTGTTTCTCCTGCATAAACTGATGGCACGCAGTGGAGTGGGTTTGACATAGCACAGTGTTGTTAGGCAAAATGTCCATCCCCTTGACTCTGAGCTTTCAGGCACATCAAGGCAGAAGTGCTGTGCACTTCCTAGCCTCGGGCTGAGGAGGAAGAGAAGGCAAGGCTGGGGGCTGCTGTGAACATCCGAGTAGGTGCTAAATGAGCGAGCACTAACAAAAGCGAATGAGCAGCCCTGAGATGCAGCCTGGTCCAGTCTATGAGCTGGGAGCCTCCCCTTGCATCAGCCTCTAAAAGCGAGAAGCTCATCCTGAATGTCTGAAACTCAGCTGGAAAAATGTGACTTGTTGCTTTCAACACCGAGAAAGCCACACTGGGTTCTGAAGAAGGGTTGCCGGGTCTGAAACATTATCTCCGGTTTCTCTCCACAGATGCTGCCAGACCTGAGTTTCTCCAGCAACTTCTGTTTCTGATTTCCACCATCCACAGTTCTTTTGGTTCCTTTGATTTCTTTTCATCGTTAAAAATTTGCTCTTTTCAATTCTAAGAAAAATTCAGTGCACTGCACTAGACATTGGTGGCGTTGTGACTGAACGAATGAATTCAGAAGTATATTGACTAAAACCTGCTTTACCAAATAATTTTTGATATTAATATCTCAAGAAGCCTAATGATGATACCCAGTCTGTCTTTTGTTCTTGTTTCTGAGAATTGGGCTGTACACTTCCAGGACAGTGGTCCAAATCTATGGGTAAAATACAGCAGTGGGTTTCCCATTGTCGTCTACAGTCAAATTTTTGATTATACTTTGTAATGCTTCAATTCATTTGCCTTGTTCATGAGACAGCTTGCGTTGAAGCATATGGCATTAAAGTCTGAATTCCTATACTTTCTACTTTCCTTTGAATCTTCTCTTTAATCAACTGCACTGGAAGGACTTAAAGGCCAATAACAAACCTGTTTAGCTCCATTATCAACTCGCCTTTGACCACAACTAACAAGTCCTGGAGTGGGACTCAAACCTAGAGCTTCTTGCTCAGAGTTAGGGAAACTATCACTGCACCACAACACCCAATGACAGTGCTGCAAACTGTATAAATCTCTTAGGGTGATTATTTCTTCAAAAACCTATGTTGCCCTTAACACATTGAAATGTTGAGGACAGGCATTGTGAATGAGAAAAAATAGCTTTACATATTGATATCTAAAATCACTATGGTGAGGTATTAATAGACGTACTCTGTACTTTAAATATAATTCTGAGGTTGTCTTTTTTATATATCTCTCACATTTGAATTGTAACAAATCCTGATTTGTAATTGGCTAATTTTAACTTTTGGAATATTTGTTGTAAAGGATCATTTTCACTTTATTAAAACATTTTCTGACGTTAATGCTGTCTCTGCTCATTTTTTCACACCTTCAGCTTCTAAGGTATATTCAATGTTTTGAATGCAAGAACAGCTTCTTCCCCACTGTTATCAGACTTTTGAATGGTCCACTCATATATTAGAGTTAATCTTTCTCTGCACCTTCTCTGTAGCTGTAACACTACATTCTGCAATCTGTTCTGTTACCCTGATGTGCTTATGTAAGGTATGATTTGTCTGGACAGCACACAAAACAATACTTTTCACTCTATCTCGGTTCATGTGACAATAATAAATCAAATCATTCCTTATTTGTAGAAACCAGCCTGCCACACCTCTATAGGA